ATATATATTTATATTCCTTGTGGAGATACAGCTTTGAGACCGTACACAGCTCAAAATCTGTGTCGGGTGCGCCATGTCCTTTGCAAGCACTCTTTTTTCCTTTGATTACTCCTCTCCAACTCCTCTCCCCAGCGAACCCATCCTTCTTCCTTGTCTATATGCTGCCACCTCCATATTCCACACCATGCCATGCCGCAACCCTTAATTAAATAGACTCTCCCCTAATCATCATGATTAAACTACTCTTGTTCTCGGAAATTTTACATTTCTGAGGGACTTAAGAAGATGTTGTCACAAAAGAGGTGGGAGATCCATTAAAGTATCTCTCTAATTGTGCATGGTGCGATTATCTCTCAGGAAGCAGAAGCTCGGGTCTACTCTCAAGAAACATGGAGTCTTTTAGGTGGAGGTACCGAGGAAAGAAGTGGAAGTTGCAGTGATTGGAAATGGAGTTTCCCCACTCATTGTCCTTGTGGTTCCAATGGATCGATCTGAAGCACCAAAAGGTAGCTTTGATTGCAAAAAGCTACACTGATCAGTTCTATTCCAGAAGCAGAAATCAGATGCAACTTGAACAACTGTGCCATATGATGATCTTTTGCTTTATGCGTTCTTAATCTGTTTTCCCTCTCGTCTCAATTATTGGCGGTAGCTTGATCTAAGGTTCACATTCATTATCAAACCCTAAAAACAAAGTAGTGATCTTATCATGGCACAAAGGAAGGATCCTCATCACTTTTTCTTCTCTTTGCCTCTTTTTTACTTTTTTTCTCGTCTTTCGTCGAAATGCTTTATTTACATTGTTTTTCTTTCGAATTTAGGGGCGCGTGGTGGCTCTCGATCTTTACGATGGATGTCTCCTTGGATGCATGCATGGATCTGAAACTCCGATGCTCTGTATTAGATTCGATGCAAAAGAGAAGAAAGATCAACAGTGATGAAACTGCTCGTAGTAATTCCCCATGAAGTTAAAGATATCGAGAGATTGGTATTCCCAACTTTCTCCAAAGGAGAGCATTATGCATGCTTTTGTTTCTTCTTTTCTCGAATCAAAATGCGTGTAATACATCCTTTTGCTGTTCTCTGCGTGCTTTGTTCATTGGGTTCCTAAATGCCCAATTTCAGCTTCTCTCACTTTTAACATCCACCTCCGGTGAGTTCCAACAAGAACCCTACTCTCATCAGGCTACTCGCATGATGGTCCTCCGGGTCTAGGAAATATTTTAAATGGATGGAGACAAGGTTGAAATATGCCCTGAGATTTTTCACTTGTAGGGTAGCTCGTCCATGGTGGGACTGGACTCACTGGTCATCATGTCTTACGCATATGCAAGCTTGGCTTCCTATTCCATTGATGGTTGGCAATTTGCATGGTCTTCTTCAAACATGGAGATCGTTGCATGTGGTTTCACATGATTCCAAAAATGCCGAGGAAAATTTATTTTAATTTTTATTACTGTACTAAAGACATTGTATTCGCCTAAAATATCGATTAACTTTTTATTCTCGTTGTCGGTGGACAAGAAAAGTTTGAGCATAGCAATTTGCACGATGTTTTTTGCGCAGACCAAACGATGCGGTGGCCAATGGTAACATAATGATCACGAGCAAACACGCAGTACAAATATAACGTTCCTCATACATACATATACATGTACATTGTTAAGTAGAGCTAGAAGAGACAAGAATAGTGGTTGGCTGAAGAAGGTAAGAAGAACAGGTGACCTACCATTCTTGTTGTCTCATCAACTTGGTTTGATTCATATACAATTAATTACAAGAAAAATTGACCTATAGGAACATAATCAATGGTAAAATATAACCCATCGTCGGTCCGAGTCTGTCTCATCATGATTATGCCACTGTAGTGACGAAAATAATGAATTTTTCGTTAAAATTATGGATTTTAGTGAGGATTTATATTTTCGAGTGTTGTCAATTTAGAAAATATGTATCGACGAGACTACTCTCACCGCATGCTGATGCTGCTTTAAGCTTGCCATGCCATCATCAATCTTTGGATGCAAACTCTCTAAATAACTCTTTTTTTCTTTTTTTAATCTTAACAACAACATCAGATGGTTTGGCGAGCTTCTTAATCCATCATTTCTTATTTCACTATCTTCAATTCTTTCTTTCTCACCAGAACCAGATGTTTATAAAGGATTGAGAATCTATGACAAAAGTGTAAGAGTATGAACGACCAAGAACATCTTTGGCACTTCTTTTTCCCATGCTGAGGATTGCCAACTTCTGTAGTTGTAGTGAGTGGAAGCTTGTTTCTTGTAGGAGTCGGAAGATGCTAACATTTTATTTTCTCTGTTGGATATCGGCAAATTCCTATTGGAAGCATCAGAAGAGGTCGTACATCTACAGACACTCGCTGGACCGTAAATCGATCTGCCCATCACTTCTGTCTGTTCGATGTTTCTCTCACATCTGCCATGTCCATCACATCTACAGGAAACCACATTTTGTTGGTTTCCATGACGAGGGAAAAAGAAATTATTTTCTTATTTATATTCAAATAAGAAGATATTTTGAGTTTTGTTTGTAGTTAGGGGATCTATTTTGTCAAACGAAAAGTTGACAAAATATTTTTACTAGACATGAAGAGTTGACAACCTTATCCGATTAATTTATGTACATAAAAATATTTTTCTATCTAAAATAAAATTATAAAAAAATGAATAAAATCTTTTTTTTTTAAATTTATCTTAAGAATTTAAGAAAATTTTCGGATTTTTTAAAAACGTATTATATTATGCGAGAATATATAT